TGTCGACAATGCATCGTAATATGGAGGCACACAACGTTCGTCATGCATCTCATGCAATAAGTGCTCTCATGAACGGGTAAGGTAGCCCGTTGAATGTTCAGTTCGAATCTCAAACTGTACTCATAATTAGTTATTCGTTCCATAAAATTCGACTGAAATCATTTGTTGATCAACGAGAGGAGTGTGGTCAACATTGTCCACTTATCGTTAGTGAATTTGTCCCTTTAACGAAGTTGTCCTCAAAGCTTAAACCAGGATCTACCAATCAGTCATATAACAAGTATAAATCATCAGGCTAGCTGAATAACTTATCAGAGTGTAAAGAGAATCATCCGTTATCTGTTATCCGCTCAAGATTTTTATTCTAATGGCAATACGTTTATTCATATTGGATAGCGAATCTCAGAAGTGATCACACGAACAAATGTTAAATGAAACGATAAAATGAGGCGAAGATCATGGAATTGATGATTGAAATAGGACAAGTTTAAGAACTTTGGACGCATTCATTTGGGATTCCACTCGACTGGAATTCGAAGCGGCACGGAACTGTGAGCTGCGTACACGAGGTGCACTNCATTATGGTGTTGAGACGTTAACGATTTCACGGTGTTGAATATTGCTTGGCTATGAGCTTTTGAAATTAAGTGAATTTCTAAAATTGTTCCATTTTAATAGATTAATAAGATAATTCATTACTTCAAGATGGTAAAATGGAAGAATTATACGAAAAATGGATAACATCGCCGTCATCAAAAGAGTGCATCCAAGGCCCACCGAAGTCTCCGGCTCGCTTAGGACTTACCAATATGAGAGGTATTTCATTTAGTGGTATATTATTTCGAAGAGTTCAATATCGTTCTATCTGCAGAATCAATGCTCTCAGAAGCCATAACAAGTGAGTAAGAATAAATAGAAGATCTGATGTTCAAAAGAACTCGTAAATATGATAGTGCCTTACGGATGTCGGAAAAATTTTTTTTCAGATGTTTTCATCCTTGTTTCGGGTGGTATAGGCGTTGGTATTGTGCTGAGCATGATTGAAGTATCGTACGGTGGGAGAAAAGCAGCGAAACGGTATGAAATTTTTTTTTAACCTCAAATACAGGTTTACCTTAAATCTACGAAACGATATTTTTTTAACCTCAAATGCAGATTTACTTTAAAATCTACTGATTGTGAAATAATCTGTTGTTCGTTGCATACAAAAGCGACTCTTTTTATTAATCGTTTCATTTATTCGAAATCAATATGGAAAAATGAAATGAACATTAAGCAAAGCATATTCTGAAGCCTTCACCAATTGTAAGCATTTAAGACGTTAACTTTAACCCAAACTTAGCCCTGCACCAGGGTTTAGTTCATGGTTCAGCTCGTTGATCCCCTCTGTCGACACTGGATTTCGTTTCACTGATCGAATTTTTATATTTCTAAGCTCTCAATACCATCATATCTTCATGATATCGCTGTGGCTATCCATTTGTTTTATTCAGTGAACGACGTCAGCTGACACTTCGTTATGCACATAGATGGAAAACTTTGGCCACCATGTCCGCCGGGTCGAATTATCGCAAAACTAGAATGATCACTAGCGTAGGAGGCTATCAGA